CTGCTGCTGCAGCTAATAAGAGAAGATGAATACTGTGGAGCTGCGCAAACGGAGGGTGCCGGCAATCGCTGTCCGCAGCAGCTGGCGGCAGCAGCTGCAGCAACAAGAGCAGCATCAGCAGCACACAAACCAGCAGCAGCAACAGCAGCAGCAACCGCAGCAACAGTGTAGATTGGTTGCAGCAGCTGCTGACGCCTGTGTTGCTCCACCGCCGGTATTTCATACACAGGACTTGGAAAAGGAGAACAGCAACAACAGCAGCAGCAGCAGCAGCAGCAGCAACAGCAACGCACATGGCGGCAGCGGCAGCAGCAGCAGCAGCAGCACACAAACCACGCAGAGCAGCAGCAGCAGCTGCTCCAACGCGCCGCGTCGTCTGCATTTGCTTCACTCTAGGGCCAGAAGCAGCAACCCACCGTGCAGCAGCAGCAGGGGCTATTGTGTATCTTCGACTTTGATTTGCAGCAGCAGCAACAGCAGCAGCAGAGAAGCAAGAAGCAGCAGCACTTCCTCTCTGTGTCGCATTGACACAGCAGCTGCAGCAAATGCCTCAGCGACAGCAGCAGCAGCTCGCCTCACTCGCAGCAGCAGCAGCCTCACCGCTACCCCGCGCCTCATTGGCAGCAGCAGCAGCAGCAGCAGCGGCAGCGGCAGCAGCAACAATACTCCAAACAGCAGCAGCAGCAGCTTGAGACTCTTGCTTCCGAAGCAGCGGCAGCAGCAGCACTCGCAGTGGTTCTTGCAGCAACGAGAGACGCACAAAAAAAGAAAAGAAGCACCGCTTATCTGCAGCAGCAGCAGCAGCAGCAGCAGCAGCAACAGCATCAGCAACACCACCAACAGCAGCAGCAGAAGAAGAAGAAACAGCAGCAGCGTCTGCAGAAGCACTGGCAGGGACACACAGGACGAACAGCAGCAGCAGCAGCAGCAGCAGCGGCAGCAGGATGGGGCAGGCGCAGCAGCAGCTGCTGCTGCTGCAGCGACAGCCAGCAGCTCGCAGGATGGTATTAACGAGCCCTCAAACGCAGAAGCAGCAGCAGCACCAGATGCTGCTGCTGCTGCTGCTGCTGCTGTTTGTGCGGCGTTGCCACCCTCAGCAGACAGTGCAGCAGGTGGAGCAGCAGCTGCCTCCGAAACAGCAGCAGCAGCAACGGGAACAGCAACAGCAGCAGCAATAGTAACAACAACAGCAGCAGCAGCAACACCGACAGCAGCAAATGATGCAGGTATATTGGAGCAGCAAATATCTCTGTTGCATCAACATGCTGCTGGCAGCAGCAGCAACCAAGACAGCAGCAGCTGCAGCAGTAACTCCTGCAGCAGCAGCAGCAGCAGCAGCTGGCTTGAACAGCTGCGGGGTCGGCAGTGCCGGGGAGTGAGACGCACCACATCGCTGCTGGCGCAGCAGCAGCAGCAACAGCAACAGCAACAACAGCAGCAGCAGCAGCAGGAAAAGCGACAGCCGAGGATAAGCGAAGATGCAATTGCTGCTGTACCCACAATGAGGAGGCGGACGTAAGTTGCCGCACTGCTGCTGCTGTTGCTGCTGCTGCTGCTGCTGCTGCTGCTGCTACTGCTGCTGCTGTTGTTCCTGCTGTCACTACTACTACTGTTGCTGTTGCTGCTGCTCCTGCAGCAGCAGCAGCTGTTGCTGCTGCTCCTGGCGTTACTACTCCTGCTGCAGTTGCTAGTACTACTGTTGCTGTTGCTGCTGCTGTTGTTGCTGTTGCCAGTGTTTGGGTCCTGCTGCTGCTGCTGCCGATTCATTGCAAACCATCTAATCGTACGCGTTCTGCTGCTGTTGCTGCTGCTGCTGCTGCTGCTACTCGTGCTGCTGCTGCTGCAGCTCTGAGGGTTCAGATTTTTGTGAAGATTTCTCCGCCTTCATTTCTTCGCATACTGCAGCAACAGCAACAGCAACAGCAACCGCAGGAGCAGCAGCAGCAGCAACAGCAGCAGACAGTACAGGTCTTGCATCGCTGCGGTGGCTGGAGCAGCCACATCGGCAGCAGAACGGCAGCAGCAGCAGCAGCAGCAAGCGAGCTCGTTCTGCCGCTGCACAGTTGTGCTGCCGCTTCCGCTGCGCCGTTGCTGCTGCTCGCAGCAGCGCAGCACTGGAGGCGCAGTGGCTGCTGCTGCTGCTGCAGCGCCAGCGGGATACGGAAGAGGCAGCAGCTGCAGCAGTTCCCCGCAGCAGCAGCAGCAGCAGCAGCAGCAGCAGTCTTTCAAAGAAGTGTCACCCACTTATAGACGGCATTCCTTGGTCTGTCGCAGCGTTGCTGCTCCCCTCACCAGTTGCAGCAGCAGCAGCTGCTGCTGCTGCAGCTGCTGCTGGAAGCCCCTTGCATATGCAGCAGCAGCAGGGGCAGCAGCAGGGATCGCAGGACTCCTTGCCTGACGAGTCTACTACTCTCTGCAGCAGCAGCAGCAGCAGCAATTACAACTCAGGTTCTGCAGAAGCAGCAACAGGAAGCAGCAGAAACAAATGCGGTTTGCTGCTGCCGCAGCAGCTCTTCATTGGGCCTACAGAGGCAGGAGCTGTTGTTGTTGGCAGGCTGCTGCTGCCGCTGCCGCAGCAGCAGCAACACGAACAGCAGCAGCAGCAACAGAACGAACAGCAGCAGCAGCAACAACAGCGCGAGCAGCCGCAACTGCATGAGCAGCCGCAGCAGCAGCAAAACGAGCAGCCGCCGCCGCAGCAGCAGAACGAACAGCAGCAGCAGCAGCAGAACGAGCAGCAGCAGCAGCAGCAGCAGCAGCAGCAGCAGCACGTAGAGTGTAGCGATGTGCGTCTGGTTATTGGAGAGGAGCTGTGGAAGCTGCTGCTGCCTTTCTTTACTGAGCAGCAGCAGCAAGAGCAGCAGCAAGAGCAGCAGCCAGAGCAGCAGCAACCGAAGCAGCAGCTACCGCCGTTGCTTGTTATTAGGCCTCAGCTGCTGCTGCTGCCGCATCGGCAGCAGCAGCTGCTGCTGCACGATGGGGTATTCAGCATTGTATAAAAGAATATATTTAAATTAATATATTTTTTATAGATTACACAAAACACAAACACGCTCTTTGTTTGCTTCCCTCTATCTCTTTAGCCTATTATATACATATATATATATATATATATATGTATATATATATACATATATATATATAATGCATATATAAATATACATATATAAATTAAAAGTAGACATGCAGATCTATATTTATTTATTCTTTGGGTTGTGCTGCTGTCGCAACATATATATATATATATATTGTTTATTATAATGATAATTATATATAATAATAACTATAATAAACATAAACATATATATAGTTATAATTATAATAATTACTATTAAAATTAATATAATAAAATATCGCTGGCAACAGCACAAAGACAGACAGAAACCAAACTAAAAATATGCTTCAAATTCTGCTGCTGCAGCAGCAGCAGCAGCAAAATCTAAACCAGCAAGAAAAGAAGCAGCAGCAAAAGAAGCAGCAGCAAAAGAAGAAGGAGCTGCTGCTGCTGCACCGGCAGCAGAATTAAAGCACTCTTGCTTGCAGCGCCTCTACAAGGGGATAAAAGTTGCTGTTGCTGCTGCTGTTGCTGTTGCTGCTGCTGCTGCTGTCGTTGCTGCTGCTGCTGCCCCGACGGTTTGGAAGCTCTCCAAAGGTCCGCGAGAAAGGCAGCAAGGGTTTCGAATGGCTGTTGCTGTTATTGCTGCTGCTGCTGCTGTCGCAGGTGCTGCGGTTATTGTAGTTGCTGGTGCTTGTGTGGCAGTTTGACTTGCTGCTGCAGTTTCTGCTGCTTGTTCTGCTGCTGCTGCTGCTGCTGCTGCTCCCGCAGCAGGAGGCGCATGCATGCGCCCCCTCAGCAGCAGCAGCAGCAGCAGCAGCAGCAGCAGCCGCAACAACAGCAGGAACAGCAAAAACAGCAGCAGCAGCAGATGTTAGTAGATTATTGATATACTAGAAGCAGAAGACATCTTCTTGTTTATATCCAAGTTGCTGTAGATTAGGGAGGCATGCATGCTGCAGCATTTGCTGCGGGCCGCAGCAAAGAATAAGAGAGTCTGCAGCAGGTGGAGGCAGATTATTTTTAATTATTTCTTTTGTTATAAACCCCGTAGAGTACTGCCAAGCAGCAGAAGATGTCTCGACAACAAACCAAATAAATAAGCGTCCTTTGAAGCGATCCCTCATCTCTTCCAACTCTAAACGCAAACAGCAGCAGCAGCAGCAGCAGCAGCAGCAGCAGCAGCAGCAACAGCAGCAGATGCAGCAAAAGTAGCAGAACATGCAGCAGAAGCAGCAACGAACAAGCAGCAAAAGCAGAACCAGCAGCAGCACCACCACCACCAGCACTGGCAGCAGCAGCATCAACAACAACAGCAGCAGCAGCAGCAACAGCAGCAGCAGCAGCAGCAGAGGAAGCAGCGTTTACCTTGTCTGAGTAGAATATCTTGTTCTGTTTTATTAGCATAGATGAGGTGTATCTGCATGTTGTTTCTTCGCTCATTTAAAAAATTTAGCAGCAATTGAAACAAAGGAGTTATACCGCTGCCCCCGCCTATTAAACCTATTTTCTCTTTCTTAACTTCGCGGCCCAGCAAAGAAAAATTATTCATACCCAAATAACGAATCCTCCTGCAGCAGCAGCAGCAACAGCAGCAGCAACAGCAGCAGCAGCAAGAGCAGCAGCAGCAGAAAGGACAGAAGCAGTACAGATACACACGGATTTCCGCTGCGAGTTAAGCCGTGGCTGCTGCTGTTACTGCTGCTGCTGTTGCTGCTGCTGCTGCTGTTGCTGCTGCTGCTGCTGTTGCTGCTGCTGCTGCTGTTGCTGCTGCTACTGTTGCTGCTGCTGCTGTTGCTGCTGCTGCTGCTTACCCGAAGGGCCCCTCTACATCGACTTTGTCTCCTGGTTTGAGGGAGCTGAGGTATTGAGACATTTTGCCTCCGTCTATGAATGGCGGTTTATTTTGTTTTGAATAAATTTTAATTAAAAGAGAAACATATCCTCGCGTTGTAGCAGAAGATATCGGAGTGTACTTGCGGCTTATTTCTGCTGCTGCTGCTTCCGGGTCTTCCTTACCATTCCTGTTTCATCAACAAGTGCAGCAGCAACATACAAAAACAAATCTACATACACCCCACATGCATTTAAAAATCCTTAGCTAGCGAGCTAGCTAGCTAGCTAGCTTGATAGATAGATAGGGAGCTAGCTGAACAGCTAGCTAGCTAGCTAGCTAGCTTGACAGATAGATAGAGAGCTAGCTGAACAGCTAGCTAGCTAGCTAGCTAGCTAGCTATAGAATTTAGCTAGCTAGCCAGCTAGCTGATGAGGTGCATGCAGTGGGCGTACACCCGAAGCGCAGCACAGGAAACACCAACAGCAATGCATAAGCGAGAGTATACTTAAAAACTTCGAGAGGGAAGGAGGAAAAATAAAAGAAGAGTAGAAGAGAAGAGAAGATATAAAAACTTAGTCGTTCATAGTGTATAAAGAGAAACGAGTTAAGTTGTCGTGGGATTTGCTTCTTCCTAGAAGGAGCCCTTTGCATGCGAATAGAAGCAAGAAGAAGAAAAAAGCAAAGAAAAAGAACAAGAAGAAAAAGAAGAAAACGAAGAAGAAAAATAAAAGGAAGAAAAAGAAAAGAACAAGAACAAGAAGAACAAGAAGAAGAAAACAATAATAAGTAAGTGTACATATTATAATATATAATAATAATATATACATAATGTATATATATATTATATGTTATATATATTATATGTTATATATATACACTATATTTTCTTGAACTCACCACTCCCCAGGAACAGCTCCCTTTGGATTAGGCGCGAAGAGACGCAAATGATAGCCAATAGGAAGTCCGAGGGGCTGTCTTTGTTTTTCAAGAGAAAAAACAAAGCGCCAGGTATCATGAGATATTTGAGTTTTTTCTTTGAGTGTCATTTGCTTTCTTTTGCGGTCTAAGAATGGCTTTCCTTCGGCTGCTCTCCAAAACCAGAGGGAAGCTGAAGAATAAGAGGTAAAAAAGAAGAAAAAAAAGCAAAAAGAGAGAGAAACAAACATAAATTTGTAAATTAAAATGCTTAATTTTATAAAATTTTATAATCATCAGTGCAAACTTTTATTATTTTTCGAATTCAGCTTTCTTGCAAACGAAAATGCATTCAAATTTGAGGTGTATGTACACCTGAGAGTTCGGTTGTGCAAGCTTGGAAACTGTTGGTTTTTAGTGAATAATTTTATTGTTTTTGTGTTTACTTCGTTTATTTCTCTGTTTTATTCTCTGAATTTGTTGCTCATTACCTGCAAATGCTGCTACTGTTGCAGCAAGCGAGAGCACGAGGCGCAGATACCAGACGAATTCGTTCATTGTTTCTGTCCTTTAACAGAAAACAAAATGAAAAGGAATATATTTAAACAGAATTAAAATATATACTTCAATTTAACAATACCTGCAGTGTCTCGACAGACTTTTTCTGCTTCTGCTGCTGCTGTGCGCCTCAGTTGACTGTGCTGGGGCTGGGGGGCCCCTCTTTGTTTTCCTTGAACGATATAATTTCTTTTTTATCGTTTTTCTTCTGCTGAAAATAAAGCTTATAAACTGTTCTGCAGGGGAAATGACGCATTAAGAGTACTATTTCGTCCATTATAAATGCTCGTCTCGCCCTATCTTCTTAAAGATATATTTTGGAATGGGTAGACTGATGTTTGTTTATTTTGTCTTTTTTGTTTAGAGAGGGAAAAGAAACAAAGAATATTAATGCATGCATTGGTAACAGAAGAAAAAAGAAGAAAAAGCATATTTAACCTCTCTACTTCGCTTCACCTTCGCCTCTATTAAAAATACACAAACGCCAACTAATAGAATAACAAAGTATTATATGCGCTATCTTTCTTATTTTTCTTCTCTAATAAATATATTATCTTATTAACTTCTGCGAACTACAGAGACACCTCAAATAGAAACCCAAACAATGTTTAACTTGCATGCATGCAAGCTCAAGCAGAAAAGCAAACGTTTGTTTTTTTGTCTTCGTTTGTTTTTTTGTTTCATTATTTGTTTTATTTGTTTCTTTATTTACAGGTCTCTGTACTCTTCTTGTGTCTATTACTCTTCTTTTTTCTTCATATACATGCACTTCATCTTTATGCATCTATTTTTTTATTTTATTTGTTTTATTTATACACCTCAGCTGTTTATTTCAATATTATATTTATTTATTCGCTTTTCTGGTGTATTCTCTTTCCTATTCACTTCCCCATATACTTTTAAACAAAAAATTGCAGAAATGAATAAGCATATATATTATATAGATATGTATATAATGTAGATAAAGTATATATATATATATATATATATATATATCTGTGTAGATAATGTATATATATATATATATATATATCTGTATATATACATATGAATACAGATACATTTATTTATAGTTATTTACATATTTTAATTGTTGTTTTTTTCTGTTTTTTCTTGCACATGTTTCTGCACGTCACTATTTAATTCTGCATGTATATTTATTTATTTATTTATTTATTTATTTATTTAATTTTTTTGTTTCTTCTTTGTCTTGTAAATGTTTCTGCACAGCATCTGTTAATTCTTCTCTTAGCTGCAATTTTCGATCTTTTTCAAAAACTTCAGGTTCAATTTTTGTCTCAGGGCGGAGACTCCTCGGGGCCTGCATGCAAAAAAAAGAAATAATTGTTTATTTTATTTTTTTGTTTGTTTTTTTTGTTTGTTTATTTGTGTCGTTGGTTGATTTGTCTGTTTGTTTATTTGTTTTGCTTATTTGTTTATTTGTTTCATTTGTTTTAATTGCTTATTAAAGAATATTCTGTAGCTCGAATAAGAATAAAAGCATCATTAAAGAAAAAACAAACAAAAACAAACAAAATAGACAGAGATACAAACAAACAGAACTCTCAGCTGTACGTACACCGCAAAAATAACAAATAACAAAGACAAGAGACAGAGGAAGCCCCAAACAAACCCTAAACCCTAAACCCTAAACCTTAAACGCAACAAAGTCTAAACCCTAAGCCGAGCAAACCCCAGGCTCTAAGCCTAACAAACCCTAAACCCTAAACCCTAAAATAAACAAACCGTAAACCTTAAAACTGCGCACCACCCCCAAACCCCCTAAGCCCCACAAACCCTAAACCCTAAACCCTAAACCATAAACCCTAAAGGCTTACCCTAGGCAGCTGGTATTCATCAAGAGACTTTGGCTTAGAGTACTGACCCTTTGGGGCTGACAGCACTTCTTCTCGTATATTTTTTAAAATTTCTTTTTCTTTTTTAAATGCGTCTACAAACTCTGGCCGATCAAAGTACTCCAAATCCTGAAAATTTACTGCCAAACCCTCGTCGACTGCTATCTGTGCCTTCTGCACCACAAACCCTAAACCCTAAACCCTAAACCCTAAACCCTAAACCCTAAACCCTAAACAGTTAACATTAAAGGATATTAAATTATTTACAAACAAGGAAGACATAAAATATTAATAACAACGCACCACAGAAAAACACATATGCATCAAGCGAGGAAAATAGGCTTAGGGCTAATAAACTCGAGGGTTTACGGTTTAGGGTTTAGGGTTTGTGCGCTCTCTGAAACATGCATGAGAAGCGTAAACCCTAAACCCTAAACCCTAATACCGAAGCGACAGGGAACATACACACAGTATTCCTTCACGCGTCGCAACCCCCTTAACCCTGAATGCTAAACCCTAAACCCTAAACCCTAAACCCTAGGCTCGAAACCCTAAAATAAAGACCTTAATAAACCCTAATAACACCTAATAAAACGCGGATACACCGTGATAAAGCTTACTACTATGTCATAAACCCTATTAAACCCTATTAAACCCTCAAAAACCCTAATAAACCCTAATAATAAACCCTAATAATAAACCCTAACAACAAACCCTAACAATAAACCCTAATAATAAACCCTAATAATAAACTCTAAACCCTACTAAACCCTAAACCCTTACGCGCGCGAGATCGGCATCATATTGTGCAATTGCGTCTACATCTTCTTGTGAAAGGACAGCGCGATATTGAGTAATGTGCTGCATCTCCAGGAGTTTAGAGACAGCCATTACACCTGAAAAGAGCAATAAAAGAATAAAAAGAAATACAAACAAATACGGAAAAAAAACCTTGCTATAGACCTGCATATCATTATTCAAATACAGAAGCTACTTAACCTCTATCATCAGCTGCAAAAAAGCAGCAACAAATACTGCCGCTCCTGCCGCAGCTGCTTCTGCTGCAGCTGCTTCTGCTGCTTCTGCTGCTGCTGTTGCTGCTGTTGCTGCTGCTGTTGCTGCTGCATTTTCTGCTGCTGCTGCAGGCGCTGCTGCTAAGGGCTGAGAGGGGGTAGAAAGGAGTTAATGAACAGACCTGGGTGGCTGACGAAAGTAATTCTGTCTGCTTGATTCCCAAAAGAAACCAAAACATCAGGAATAGCTGCAGCAGAGTTTGTTTTAACAGCTGCAGCAGCAGCAGCAGACCCCCGAGGGGGTGCTGCAGCAGCAGCAGTAGAAGCAAGTCGTTGCACTGCCCTGAACATAATTATATTATTTAAAAAAAAAGAAGGAAATAATTAATTTTTATATCGTTAATATCTATAAATCCGCTCAAACACAAACTATTATATCTGAGTTATGCGCTGCACACAGCCGGTGGCTGCTGCATGCAGCCGCCTAAAATAACAAAAAGAATATAAAGACAAAATAAAATAAATTAATATTTTAAAAGAATTTTATTTTATTTATTTTTATTCTATTTTATTTTTTTATTTTATTTTTTAGGGTTAAGGAAATACAATAATTATCCGCAGTGCTGTTTAGTCGTCTGTATACTCAGCAGAAAAAACTCATTTCTTTTGTTTACATGCAATGCTATATATATATATATATATATGTGTGTATGTATGTTTAAATGTAGTGCAATATACATATATTTATATAGATACAGATATATAT